GTTGCGAATGATAGGTGGAAAGGAGTTACGATGGCAGCATCTCTGTAAGCTAATACCTTCTTTATTTATGTAGGTACATATGTACATACAGTCAGCGTCAAAAATATGCATGCCCTGACGTTTTGACGAATTTATTTACTTATATTTTCCATAATTAATGGATAGGACAGTGTTATCAATTTTTATGGATATCACATCCATAGTGTTTTCTCCGTGTTCCAATTCCTCTTTTTTACCTCCCTTTTATTAGCTCGGGATGTAACTATGTAATATTGATGCGCCTAAAAGATGCAGCGATTTCTGTTCTCAAGTTACATACCTGATGACAGTACGAATGGAAATTATAATAGCGAGGTTTTAGTTTTTTAAACTATAATTTTTTTTATTACCTCTTACCTTCCTTTTATTAGCTCGGGATGTAACTATGTAATATTGATGCGCCTAAAAGATGCAGCGATTTGTATTCTGAAGTTACTGTACGAATGGCAATTATAATAGGGAGGTTTTAGTTTTTTAAACTATAATTTTGTATAAAAATATAGTGCATTCACATCAAAAACCACAAGAACAAATTTTTTCAATTAAATATAAATAGAACTCGAGGGAAACTGCACGAAATACCAAGAAATTTTCAGCGAAATTTTAAATTTTTCAATTCGATTTCTTTAAACAAATTTCAGTATGCAGTTGTGTAGCCCATGCAATTTTAGTGCAAGTTAAAAGTCGCTAAAGATTACCGTTGATTTTTGAGTATTTATTTTTTGTTGAGGGTGTTGCGCATTTCCTTTCATATAACACATGAACACAATAATTTTTATATGAATGAAGGTACGCAACACCCTCGGAGAAAAAAATTATCAAATCTCAACGGTAATTTTTGGCGACTTGAAACTTTTCACTTCACTACAAAATTTTTCTAAGAAATCGAATTAGAAAATTTCGATGAAAACTTCTTGGTATTCCTTGCAGTTTCCCTCGAGTTCTGTATGAAGTTGAAAGAATTGATTTTTGTGGTTTTTGATGTGAGTGCCCTATATTTTTATACAAAAAAAAAAAATTGGTATGGAAAATATAAGTAAATAAAATCGTCAAAACGTCAGGGCATGCATATTTTTGACGCTGACTGTATGTACATATGTACATAAATATAGAGGATATTAGCTTTCACAGACGTTCTATATGAAATTAAAAAAAAAAATGATTCTTGTGTTTTTTGTCATTGAATAAACTATATTTTTATATAGAAATAAGAAA